TTTTCCCAGTGTTTCTCTAATTCTTTTTCATTCTTCGATTTTGGCCTGCATTAGAACACTGCTTTTTAAACTGTATTTAAGGAGTTATGATAATTAAAACTTAACAGTATAACAAAACTATCTCCTCTAGGTTTTGATTTTGCGTAGAACATTACAACATAGACCAAATACAATTTCCTTTTTAAAGCAATAGAGTTAAACAATTTTTTAATTTAGCCACATGGAAACCTTTCTTAGAAAGGATACAAATATAAAACCAATCATTTTTAGCAATAAAAATAACATTTTTAAAAACTTTTCTATGATAAAAATAAAATCAACTGTGTGAACAAATAGCAAGCATGTGTGAACAAATAGCGTGTATTATTAATGATGTTAATAACGAAACAGGAGAAAATTTTAAACAAAACGCTGATATATCTATTTATTGTGAACATACATATAGTAATCAAAAGAAATCACCAAATATTACGAAATAAAAGAAATGCAGAAAAAACAATAAAAATAATTTAACTTTCAAATAATTATAAATTCTATTCTTTTAAGAATAGAATTATTTTTTAAAGTTAATAAAAATGAACAATAAAACTTTCAGTAGCACATTATTAAAAAAAGAAAAAATATATAACAGTTCTAAAATTATAAGAAAGTGTAATAAAATATAAACAAAATTTTTACAGCTTTAAGAAAATATTCCATTTCTTTCAATAACACGTATTAAAAACAAGTTATAATTTTTACAACTTGGAGGAGAAAAAATTACAATCTTAAAATTTCACATTGCATTCTCAAAAAGTTTAAACAGCTTATTGTCTCTAAAGTTTCAAACAGTTTTAAAAAATATAATTTAAAACATAAACATCATGAGTTACTAAAAATTTGCAACTATGCAATTTTTTAAAAATTTACTATCCTAAAATTTTTTTTCAGAACTCTAGATGCACATTTTAACTTTACTCCTAAAATAATTTTAAGCCTTAAAGAATGAATCCCTTGGTCACTCAAGATATAAAAAATAAACTCATATAGTATTTAAAACAAGCCAAATGATAACCCCCCAAAAAAGTACTTTTCCGTTTCGCCGGCACAAATCTCGCCAAGCAGATTTCATTGGCGACAACATACAGTATACACTTAAAAAATGTTAACAAATGTTAGTTCTAAGAATTTATTTCGAAGGCATAAAAATTTTAATATCTTTTAAAATTTGTTAAAGACAATAAATTTGTAAAAAGACACTAACTTAAGAATTTACTAGCTTTCACGGTTCAACATCCCGATTCGCCATTTCATATCATGTGACCCCAAGTGATCTCATCTCATGTAAACTACAAAAATCTAATTCTCTGATTAATTATCTACATTAATTTCAAGTTAAATGTTAATTTGAAATACAAGTTTAAATGCAAGAATTATTTCAATTCGTACGAATAGCTTACTCAGAAATTATGTAAAACCGTAGTGCTTTACTTCGTTAGTGCATTCTCATTCGAATTGATGAGTTTAACCCGACTTTGCATTTCTATATCTTTGTCTTCGGGTGAGCGGTGTGATTGCATCCTAATTGACTTAATTACCACGAATGACCTTAGGCCATAAAATTGAACTACCTGGGTAAAAATTCTATGTTATTGTATGCTAGTATTGAAAGATACAATCAATCTGATAAGAAATGGCTGCTTACTTGTTTGAAAATGAGGCGTAAAGGTACCAGCGGGATTTCCGTTTGGGATCAGTTGTATCATTATTGGCGACTTTATCGCCTGCGTTGACAAAACGAAAAAGTACCAAAAACAACAACAAAAAATAATAATAATATTCACCTCAAATTACAAGCATGCACTTATTTAATAAAGAAGTACACAAGACCGATATATTGCTATTGTAGCCAAGCGGAATCGCAGAGCGACCTCCACACGTGGGACACCATTGGTTACCGCGTCCATTGGTAAGATGATATCTGCACCTACTGTACGCCCGGGTACCTTGAGTTTGTGTTCCTCTATCCATCCAATCAAGAGGGGCATGATTACAGTGGTGCCTGGAACATGTCTATTGGAATGTGTCTGACTGGGGCAATGTTGTTTACTGACGAGTCAGATTTGCTCTGGAGTCAATGACAGCGTATAAGATATGGCGTGAACAACGAACACGTATCAGTCCCAAAATACACATTCGAGGCGAAGCATTATGATATGGGCAGGGATTTTTAGGATACCTCACCGACCTGCACATCTTTAAACGGGGTTCTTTGACGGTTTTCCGGTATCGAGATGAAGTCCTAGAATCCATTGTGAGATTGTACACTGCAGCAGTTGGCCCTACTATTGCTTTAATGGACGATAACACACGTCCCCGTAGAGCTGACATAGTCGATGACTACCTGGAGAGTGAAGGGATTGCGCGTATGCCGTAGCCAGCATATTCGCCAGGCCTTAATCCCATTGAAAATCTTTGGTATGCTCTTAGCCGTGCTATATCTTCACGTTTCCCACCTACAGCCACTCTTATTGAGCTGGAAACTGCTCTACAAGAAGAATGGTGATTGCTTATTCTGTGGTGGTTAACCACCTAATTGAAAGCATGGTCACAAGGTGTAAACTTTGTATACAGATGAAGGAGTATCACATACCTTATTAATGTCGTTTTTTCATTTTTGCTGTTTATTTTCACTTTTACATAATTCTTTTAAGTCTCCAGTATGTCCATTATCTGATAACTTTCAAAAATTTATATTGTTTAATTTCTGTATATAATTATTGATTTTGTTTTTATGCATAAAAATAGGTATGCTACGTCCTGCCGAATTTTGTGTCAATCAAAGCAGTATTTTTTGATTTTTTTGCATTTTACATCTTCGTGCTTAACTTTTGGAAGTGAATGTAAAAGAACAATTAATTTTATTGTAAATAAATTATATACATATATATTATTGTGTATGGGTTTGTAACAAATCGAATTCATACTGGTCTGAGGATATGTTGATAAAATTTATTTTATTAAAAGAAACACTTCAAAGTTCTGGAACTTTCCATAGAAATATTCATACAAGTGTTTATAGTAATGCAAAGTACAATCAGTAGTTACACTTCAAACTACTAGGAACATTAAACACTATTCAAGCAAAGCGTATCTAAAAGGCAAAGCTTTCAATACTCCAATACAGTTTCCAACAACAACAGAGAGCAGAACTCTATCTGCATTTTTATAGTTTTTCATCTGGCATAAAGATATTTCTATCGAAATTACTGAAAAGGAAGGCTGAATAAGGTTACAAACATCCAAAATCAGTTACAGTTATTCAATTGCAATATCTATTAGTGATACAGGGAACTGACCAAAATGCCACCAAGTTGTCCACTTTTGACAATTTCTCACCAAATTCAGGGACAAAAATTAGTCATTAAAACCATTGCCAGCTTGGCGATATCTCGACAAATTAGGGAGATAGCCATTTACTGAATGTTAAATAGATTTGACCCTACATTCTTACTTTTCCGGCAAGCTTTTATAGAAACTCCTTTAGATTTTCAGGCAAAATAAATACAGTACAAAGTTCATAATCCGGACTCGTCGGGACTTCGGCGATTCAGGATTAAGGGGTTTTCCGGATTATAGATCATCATGTAAATGGCAAGATATCATGCAGAAATTATAGATTAAAATATGAACCTTAATTATGAAATAAAGAGCAATTATGATCTAAAGAATCAAAATTACAAAAAAAAAAAAAAAAAAAAAAAAAAAAAAGCTAATATTTTTGTTTACTTTTATAAACATTTCTTTCAATGTAAGTTGTTTAAGTTCCTTCGTTTTTTGTGCTAAACGTGCATGCGTAAACATTAAATGTGCATGCTTAACATTAAACATGCACGTGTAAACATTAAACATGCATGCGCAAAGCATAAAAAAAAAAAGTTTGTGGCTTTGAGGTCCAGATTATAGATCATTCCGGATAATGGATGTCTGGATTACAGACTTTGTACTGTACAATTTCACATATAATTTCACTTATTACCTATCTCTATACAAAATTCACAACAATATTTTACATTTTAACAAATATATTTATCCCAAAAAAGAGTCAATAAACCTCATTACAAATGGACTTATGTTTTTGACGTGGTGAAAATTTCGTAGCAATTGCCTTTAGAAAAGATTCAAACCATTATTCCTTCAGCAATTTAGCAGCTAAATACTGTATTTCCATAGATATTTCATCTTTGTTTTTTCTATTATAGGAAAATCTCACAAGCATGAATTTTAAAAATTAAATTTAAGACAAAAAATAATCTCAATTTTTCTATAAAAGCTGTTGAAACTTTTAATATAGCAAAAAAACACATACAAAAATGGCATTGTTGGAAACTAAATATTTGTCATGTGCATGGTTGCCTAAATAATTGTTATGCACATGGTTAACAGAGTTTGGCATATTCCAAAACTTTGGCGACTTCTACTAAGGTCATTAAAATAACAGGTAAGTACTGAAATAAATAAGATATGAAAATTAGTGAAGGTCGATTGATTAAGGCAAAGTATTTCAAAACTATCTGCCTAAGCACCTAGATTCCTTCATGGAGGATTTTCTAGGAAAAACAGATTATATTTGGGGATAAAGCATCAATATCCCACATGGGCAGTTAATTTAGACCTAACTATCACTGTTAAAGTTTATCTATCTGGCCTCTGATGGGTACATTAATGTAAAGAATAAAATTATGTATATGTGGATGTATATATGATTTAACTTTTTTCCCCAAAAAAAACTTGCTGCTGTATAATAGGCCCAATTTAAATGCCTTCTAGCAAAAAATTGCAAATTTTATGCACTTAAAAACTCAGTAAATGTCATTAAATATTTATATGCTATTATTACATCTACTAAATAATAACATTTGCCTTAAAAATTCAAATACATTTTGTTCTATCTTAACAAATAACACAGTATCATTTGCTTTTCCTTAACAGATATTATAATATAACAATTAATGATTTACTTTTATTCCAAATTTTTTGCGAGCCTGTGAAACTTTTATTCCATGCCACATTGCAACAAAAACAGATGAAGCTCCAATGAGTACGACATATCCATATTCTCGTGGTAACTGAAAACTTACAAGACTCATGATTCTGAAAAAAGCAAATAAATGTAAATTGAATATCAAAATATTTCTTCAAAAGGCATTCTTTCATCACACTTTAACTATTATTAAATATCTCTAAAGATAAATAATATTAATTAAGTTATGATTTTCAAAAATAAATAATGCACAATACATGTATTTAAAAATATTTAATATCATTATTTACACCAGTAAAGTACTGATAATTGATTGGTAATTAGATAAGACTGGACTGGATTATTTAGACTGCAGCAAAGCCCAGAAATGCCAGCCTAAAAAGATTATGTCCTTTCATGTAGGCTTTTTTAAAAGAAACTGGCTCATATTCACATTATGCAAGGGGAAAATTAGGAGAACTTCCATATAGCTAGCCAATTCACCAGAAATTTCACCCCAGGCTACTGTTCTGTGATTTACCTGTTGGCCACAGGTAAGTTTTTTGGTAACTGGACATATTAAGTAATGTATTACCAAATAACAGTTATTAAAGAAGACACCAAATGAAATATACATATTATGTTATATCCTGTTGCAAAAGCAGACATGATTACTACACAATGGAATCAATATGTAATTTTGGGTACTATTCGGTTTCGAGGGCCGTAAAAAAATTGCAATGAAAATGTATGCACGAAAGCGCCAAATCTAGCAAACACGCCCATTTAACAGCGTGCCAAATCTCGCGTACGAGCTGATTTCAGATTGCGTAAGTTTATATAGTTCTACATTTCTTAAAGACGCCTATTGAAATACAAGTTTAATTTTTAATTATTTTTTTTGATATCCTATGGATTTAACAATTTGGGAAATTGCCTATGATGAAAAGTCTGCGATAGAATTTTGGGTAAAGTGCAGAATCACCCACTGCTTGACGCGTTTTTAAGAATTGCACATACTCGGTATCCATGTACACATCGACTTAGTTCACTTTAAAAAAATTCCCAGACTTGCACAAAAATGGCACCGCGCACACCCTTGACCCCATGTACACATCGACATATTGTCACGTAAAACGTAAAAAAATTGACAAAATTCCAATTGTTTTTACCCTTGTAAAAAGCCAAAGAAATAAGCGGACGATTCTGCATTTTACCGAAAATGTTTTCAAAGAAAAGGCTCATTATCATAGAAAATTATGTTTGAACAACCAACGAGATGACATTATGCTTTAGCGATACTCGGTAGCGAAATATTATATGAAATAACCTTTCATCTAAATTAAACACATCAATATTTAGATAATTTTTACTATTAACTTCCTTTCTTACGTTAGGGTTGCCGCAATTGCTTTTGGCAGCACTGGCATCAACAATAGTTTGGCGATTTTTTACGGCCCTCGAAACCGAATAGTACCTAATTTTGTTCTTTTTATGTTACTATATTATCAAAATTGAACTAAATATATACATTGCAAATAGGCTAAGCTCCCAAATTTTTTACATCCTAAGCTATCAGTATAGTTGATGCCACATACAAATTAAAGTAATATTTTAAACCATAATAAACCTTCATTTACTTTAACCCTCCGAGAGGCCTGGTGCTGGTATCGTGCTGGCACCCTCCGTAGTGCTGGTATCATGCGACGTTCGACCATACACATTTCCTTCCTACAAACAGGACACTTATAATTGCTACTAAGTAAACCTTCATTTACACACCAGTCAATTAATGCTCTTTTTCATTTCATTCCAAATCACAGAGAAACTTCAAATTAATCTTACCACATTCAACCATTTTACCATGTAAACTACAAAATAACAACGTACTTCTTATCCAAAATCTGACACACAAGCCTTTCTAAATTTTCCCCATCATTCAAATTCACCACAATCATGCAACCAATTATGCCATAATAGGGTTTCTATCGCATTCAACTTTGAAGTCTGAATTTACATCATTTTCTTTTATATGAAAAACAAACTAGAATATCTACATTAATTAATGTAGATTATATATAAATGAAGAAACTAATTAATTTCAAATGTGATATAAATCTTATTCAAAGATTTCAAAAGACATATTTCATTATCTTATATTTGTACATGTCAGAAATAAATCAGCAATTCAATGATTATTCTTTGCACACAATTAATTTTTGCACAATGAATAATCACTTTGGAAATACTTTTACACATGAACAGACTTTTTATCACAGCTGCAAATTAATAAAGAAAAATATAAATGACAGATCAGTATCTACAATCTGCAAGGAAGATAATTTCTATTAATTTCTCTCCAAGGATGAACAAACTTTTTCAGAATCAACATGCCATCAACTGTCAAGCTATAGTCAGAAATAAAGAAGTTGATAATTATTTATATAGAAACATGTACTTTTATTTATGGGCTGAAAAACATTTCATAGATAAGAGAAAGAAACCAAGCTGTCATAATTTATTTTGAAGTTTTGTCCCGCTTGATTAATTTTCTGTGAAAACTTATAAAGTCTCGTAATTTGTTTATTTTTAGTTTAAATGAAACTAAGTTGTTTAATGATTAATTAAACATGTAAGAAAAGCTAGTCTACGTACCAATAATTACCAGTCGATATATTTGAATTACAAAGCATAACCAACAAAAGTGTTTTGCAGGTACCAAATAATAATTATTCTTTTGGGTACCTTTGACGAGTGAGACTCTTCATCTGCTTACATACTTTTTTAATTTTATTTTGTTTCCTTTATATATTTATTTATAATTTTGTAACTAAAATGTTGTTTCAAAAATATATTTATATCACCAATATAAGTATATTTCAAATAAAATGCATTACTTTTATATATTAATCCATATAACAACAAATTAAATCCATCCTATGGGCATAAAAATATTCAAATCATTCGGTACTCAAAGGGTTCATATAAACGGAATATTTTTTTTTATATATCTTTACTGTTTATACATGTTGTCATTAAAGCAATTTCTAAATATAAAAATTTATTTTAAATATTTTATTTTAAAAGGAAATTTTTCATTCAGATAAAAAAATTTTTTTTTTTTTATCTGAAAAAAATTTCCTTTTAAAATAAAAATTTAAAAAATCTGACTTATTAGTAAACTATGAGTTACAGATTAAAAAAATTCCAACAATAATTTTGAACTTTTTGAGTTAAAATTGATGTACAGGTTTTTCCTTTTTATTCTAAATGATGACAATGTTGCAAATCGGATAGTTCCAGTTAATAAAAATTTCCTATTTTATTTATATGGTTATTTATGTAACAGCAATCATATACAACTACATTTATCAAAAATTTTATACAATACACATTTATTTAATGCTGCTTTAAAAAGAACATAACATTTTATTAATACATATAAATATCATTAAAAATATTTCTGCATGAGAAAATAAACTATAAAATCAGAATTTATTTGTAGTTGAATATAAAATACTTTACATTGGGAAGAGGCACTTTTAAAATGAAAATATGTACTTTGAGTGAATAGACATTTAAAATATTTTGAAGTACATTAATTTTTCAGAAGCATATACCTTTTTCGTACATTTTAAAAATAAATATTGAACAGACACTATTAAGAAATTTTGTAGATTCCTATTAAATGAAGATTTGAAGCAAAATTTTAATGAAAACATTCCATGTGATTCATCAGTCTTACAGTTAATATATATATAAAGTTAATCATTCATAATAGTCTTCCACTGATATTTATTTTGAAAATTAGTTTGGTATTTTCTTACTACAAAATGTCACTTTTAAACTCAAAATTAAAGGCTGTTATCACAGTTTTATTCCTACTTACTTAAAATTTTCATTACTTTTTTATTTGATTAAAAAAAAAATTTACATTTTAGTCATTGCACTCAGGTTGAGGGAGAATTCTGTCAATTTTAAAGCACATTCACTTCATGTGTTACTTTCCATAAACATATAAACGAGATAAAATGCAGCTTAGTACGTTTATAAATAGCACTAATAATCTTTTTGAATACATTATTAAAAGTTTACAATTGGGTGCCCCTTGTTTCTTGGCGATTCTTTTTTTGCGCCAAGATCGGCGCCAGGAAGGCAAAATTTCAAGATGGCCGCTACACAAAACCAAAATAAGAAGTCAAAGAGAATTGCACAAACTCTGTGTCCATTTGCACATCGATCTGTTTTCACTTAAAAAAACATCATAGAATTGCACAAACTAGCCATTGCATTACATTTGTCCATGTACACATCAATCTATTTTCATTTAAATAAAATCAGGAAGCTAAAACAAAGTTAAAACTATCATGGCAACCAAAAGTGAGGTTTCATCACCAGATTAAAAAAAAAAAAAAAAATTGTCGCTAATCGAAGGAACACCCAATTCTACACTAGAGCCACTTTTTTTTTTTTTCTTTTCAGTAAAATCAAAATTTCATAAACTATAACAATACAATTAAAAAATTCTCCATATTTTAATATAAAATATTTTTGCTCTAGTGTAGATCTGGGTGCCCCCTCGATTAGCGAAAATTTTTTTTTTTTTTTAAATTTGGCGATAAAACCTCACTTCTGTTTACCATGATAGTTTTAACGTTGTTTTAGCTTCCTGATTTTATTTAAATGAAAACAGATCGATGTGTACATGGACACAGAGTTTGTCAATTCTTTGAATTCTTATTTTGGTTTTGTGTATGGGCCATCTTGATATTGTGACTTCCAAGCGCCGATCTTGGCATCAAAAAAGAATCGCCAAGAAACAAGTAGCACCCAATTGTAAACTTTTACCAATATTTTCTTAAGGAAATATAACTTATAGCTTTATTCTAGCAGTAAGTCAAGCAAGTATATGAAATAAGTTATAAATATCTTAAGCAAATCATTTTCCTTGAAAAGTGAACTGCGAAAAACTATAAATTTAGCTTGTTAGTATAACATTTACATTTAAATCATGCGTAATGCAACCAATTCGTTTATTTGAACTCATGATTAGTTCATCAGTAAAACACTTAAATCTTTGAAAGCAGCACTGAAACAAGTACCGAAGCATAAAACTGAATATAAGGCCTTTTACGTTTTTTTTTTCAATTTTCATTTTTCAGTAGTAAAACAGGTTATTCTTCCTGAACTTGCTTTGATTGAGATAGTTTGTAATAAGCAATATCCTTACAGTAAAAAATATTTTACGTACCTAGAAATGCAAGGCTCTTTCAAGAAGCAATTTGCCGGTAAACCTCTATTCACATTTGTTAGAAAAGAGAATTTGAGCTTTACGATTAGACAGGTTTCATAACAAGTGATTATCTAATCAACCCTTAATAAAAACGCAGATAAGGTTGTCAAAATACTATTGGACGAAGGATATCAGCCAGCACTTTTCAATTTTTTTACGATTACACTACTTCCTTCAAAATCATTTTGATTTATTTCCTTCTTTGAAAGAAAATAAAAATGTCCAGTGGCGAAGAAGGAGGAGGGCAAGGCAAGGGGGCGGGTTCTATCAAATCGGCCGATGCTATTCGCACCGGCGAATAGCCGCTTAAGCCAGACGTATCTCCCGACGTAGTTGACGTAACTTTTTTGACGCCGGCGTAAATTCGCAGGACGCAGAAGACGTAAAACTGAGTACGCTCCTGTTCAGCTTTTTCGCCCGCGACGCGCGCGTATAGCCAATAGCCGACCGAGTTCTTATCACGTGTCATAATCAGAAAACCTTCTTGCTTACCCGTTTCAATATGGCGTCAGAGCCACACAGAGATGAGTTTTTGCTTAGAAATATAAGTGTATACAGCAATAAAATAATCAGCATTGTTCACGCACGCCATCTTCAGATTTCTCAAACTGTATATATTGGTATAAATTTCAAATTCTCATTAAAGGGGAAAACTGTACACTTATAAAGCAATGATTCGACCAGTATATCCATATGATTCGACCAGTATATCCATATGCTTCACCTGTTTATAACACCGTAAGTAATAGGAATCTAAATAAATTACAGTTTCTACAAAATCAAAGTTTCCTGCCTTTACAAAATTCTCTTTAATTATTATAAATATTGGCTTTATCATGTCTAATAAAAAGCTCTATAAATATCCCAATATTAAACACACCAAAAAATAACTTCGGCAATATAACAACTTCTAAAATAAAGCAGTTGACTGTGAAAGAGTATTCAATAAAATACAATTACGAAATTTTAGAGGAAAGTTACAACGTGTGCCATACAGCAATCATTTATTGAAGTTTAGTTAAATTATTTTTGCAGTGACTTCTACTTATTACATTATTTTTCGCAAGCATTGCTCTCACAGATAGCTGAGTGGTCAGCGCGCTGCTTGGTGCGGAGGAATGGAAAGCTGGCGAGTTTCGAGACCTCACCCGTAGATAGTATATAATTCAGTTAGCTTTTCTCATTTTGAAACGTGCTTTTACGTTTAATCATGAATCATTATATTCTTATTTTACCTATTATATTGTATACATTTCTTATTTTATTCATCATCATTATTGTTTTTAATTTAGTTTAAAAATGTGCATTGCAAATAGAAACCCCTTATGTAATAATACTCGTATATCGGCATCTCTTTATCATATATCATTCTATAAATTCTCTCTTTATTTTTACTTTATTGCATATTTTATCATGCACATAATTTCTCATAAACTGTCCAAAGTTTGAACCTCATTCTAAATTCCAAAATAAATAAAAAGAAAAACAAAAGACCAAGGGCGAGTTAAAAAATATGAAGTTGGTTTTATATGGTGGATGGTGTATATAAAGAGAATTAAATTATTTAATTAAATAATTAAATAATTTAATTCTCTTATATACGTATTCCAACCAATTTTATAAATCCTAATTTTCATACGATATAGAATCTGCAAGTCTGTCAAACTGGTCGATACTCATCCTGAAGGAATTAAAAAAACAGTAATATACCCCCTCCAAAAAAAAATTTAAGTCAATTCCTACTTAGGTCCACAAAGAAAAGTTTAAAAATACAAAAATAATAAATAAATAAATAAAAATACAAACATAATTTTTTAATTAAAATTTAAAAAAATTTAATATGTGAAAAGCTGTATCAAGTGTCATTCACTGCAAGTTTAAAAATTGTATTTGAACTTGAGTGGATGAATAAAAAGCATTTTATGTACTGAAAATTTGAACAAGATATAGGGCGAGTGTGAGCTAATAGTAGGAATTTAATAATTCCAGATATTCCTTTCGCAAACAAGGCAGTAAAAAAAAAAAAAAATCTCTTTGAACAGGTCGCTTTAAATAAATCTTTCGGACCCATTCTTGCCATTTTTTGTGGTTTTGCCTTTGCTTAATAATTGCACATAATAGTAAAGTTTCAGCTATAAAAAATATTATCTGATTCGGACAACTTGCCGCAAACATACAGAAGAACAGCGAAGTAATAAGATACAGCTCTGTTGACGCTATATTACAGCGTCACGTGATTTTTGCGCAAAATAATTCTATTGGTTAAACGCACTCTTCGCAAGCGTACTCGTTTGGACGCTTTTACGCTGGTAACGTAAAAGCGCGTTCGTCAGCTACGTTTCGTGTGGACGGGCCTTTAGAGATTCTTTGCTTAAGCTATTCGCACCAATCTTAACCACGCATGCGCATTAAGTTGTCAAAGGCGGGTTTCTACCTTGGCGTAGTTAATCATTTTTTAAGCGTTGGCGACTTTCAAAAGTTTAGAAAGGAAAATGGGTTCCTTTTCTTATAAAAAGAAGGAACACATTTCCTTTTGTTAAAATATATATAAAAAAGGGCAGATTTTTTATGTTCGCAATGTTTAACCTTTTCTTGAACGGTTTGAATAGTTTAAATGACTGATTTGAAGGGGGAGGGCAAAATCGTGTTGACAGTTTTTGTACTTCTTAGAATACATTTAGCTTTAAAGATGTGTTTGGCTCAATAAAGCCTTTAATTCATTCCTCTTTGCAAAATTTCGTCCGATAAACGATACTAAAAATTAGACAGCGGATTTCTGTGTAGAAAATTTAGACATGAAATAAGTTAAAAGCGATTATATGAACTATTAAATGAATTATTCTGTATGCCTGCTTATTTTTTTTTATGGAAATACTTGGCATTTTCACGACACAAAAAGTGCTTCAAAGAAATATTAGTGCAAACACATTAATCAATTAAATTGAAATAAATAATGGGATGTAATTTAAAAGACAGAAATAATTTAACGTAAGAGATTCAGATTTAAAAATTTGCACACACAAATGATTTATCAGATTTTGTAAGGTTTTATCTCATAAATAACTTTGATTTTGAAACATGGCATTTGAACCTATGATCTGTGAGGATACTGAAAAAGTGATGAATATATAAGAATATTATCATTTTCAGTAAGTTTTCTTATTGAATAATGAATTCTGACAGTCCTATAAGAATAGGGTCTAAGTTTGCATAAAAATTCCTCTGTTAAATAAAAGAATTTAAGTAATTTCTGTAGCCTTTTTGTCAATACACTAAAGATTTTTTAACTAATTACTCGTCCTCGCTTGCAATTAACAACCATCATTAAATCCCTATTTTATCTAATCATTTCCTGAACATTATCATGTATATAGATGGATCTCATCTTTGTAACTGATAATTATTACTTGCAAATTATTCTCTTGATGATGAACTATTAACAACCCTTTCTATTGCTGAGTTAGGTTTAACAACCTTCTCTCTCACTACCGCCTGCCTTACGGAAATCGGCGTAAAATGCCAAGGCATCTTTGGCCAAGGTCCGTAGAAACCTTGGTAAAATGCTGGTACCTTGGCTGCTTGTGCGCATGCGCAAAAGTAGGAGGTGTGAATAACCTGTTTTAGCTATTCGCACCGTCGGTACGATTAGCCACTTCGTATGAAGCCAACACCGACTCTACTTAACTAACAGCATAAACTATTCACGATAATAAAAGAAACATCACAAACAGTATCGGCTATAATTTACTGCACAAACACACATTCTGCAGTTTATTTTGTATTTATAAAATCATTTGATCATCAATAAATGATAGTTAAACGAAAATGCACGTTTTAAAGAAATATGAAGAGTAATTTATTCTAACATTCTATGGGAAAATTCGAAGCTGAACTTACCTCAAAAACAGCCTTTTGAGATCGGAATCCATTGATTTTGACGAGAATTAATTATCCATTTTCTTCGTCTTTCTTCATTTTTGGCGAAACGTCCTAAACTTATTTTTTGAATGATTGGAACAATTTGATGCAACACATCCACCCACATTTGTCAAAATTAAGTCGGAATCGACCAACAAATATGTCAACAAAAAAACACTGTAAAATAGCGATAGCAACAACCACGCTTCTTTCGTTACAACGGACGACGCATTAAATTCCCGATGATCACAACTTGTGACGTCACAAAACCGCCATCTGACTTGTAGTAGAGTCGGTGTTGGTAATGCCGAGAATGTGCAATTTTCTCATGTTTTTTAAGTGAAAATTGATCAATGTGTACATGGACACCGAGTTTGTGCAATTCTTTGACTTCTTATTTTGGTTTTGTGCAGCAGTTTTGACAACGAGGATGTACAGTCGGTCACAAAAGTATTCGAACACCGGTACCCTATCAGAAAATGACAAGATGGCGTTTTTTTTCTCTTTCTCTCTGTGTGTCGTGTTATTCCATCCTAGGTTTTCTTCTCCCCCCCATCTTGGAAAAAACTGGAAAAAATTGGTCACGATCTCTTTTTGAATGGGGAGATGCCATTTTGAGAAAAAGCTGACGACCCTATCTTGGAGAATGAACATGACCGCTCTACACACCCTTTCTCTCTCTCTTTGAATTGGGAAGCCATTTTGGGAAAAAGCAGACGACCCTATCTTGGAGAATGGAAATGAACGCCTCTCCCTCCCTCTTTGAAATGGAAAGCCATTTTGGGACCCTCTATTCTTGGGGAGGGAGAAAACTGAAGTCTGCACTTCGCTGTCTCTGAAAAGCGGACCCTCTTCTTCTGATCTTGAAGAACTGGAAATGAACGCTCTACACGATCTCTCTTTGAATTCAGAAGGTATTTTGGGACCTTCTAATGTTGGAAAACTGAATGAACGCTCTACCATTTTCTCTGTCTCTCTCTCTTTGAGATGAGTAGCCATTTTGGAGGATTCTCCACCACCATCCAACCTTGGAAAACTGAAATGAACGCTCTACACCTTCTCTCTCTCTCTCTCTCTCTTCTCTGAAATGGGTAGTCATTTGAAAACTCCCTAACTTGGAAAAAACAGAAATGACTCTACACCATCTCTCTTTGAAAAGGGGAGTGCCATTTTGAGACCTCCCTCCCTTAAACTTGGAAAAAAAACTGAAATGAACGCTCTACACTCTCTCTCTTTCGACATGGGCAGCCCTTTGGGGACCCTCTCCTCTTGGTGGGAAAAAGAACTGATGTGAAGGCTGTACACAATCTCTTTTAGAATGGGATCCATATTTCGGGAACCGTGGAGCACCTCATGCTGGAAAACTGAAGTGGACCACCAAGATTGGACCCTATATAATATTTATTTTAT